CCTTCACAGGGACACCTGGACAGGTCTACAGTCCTTCACAGGGACACATGGACAGGTCTCCAGTCCTTCACAGGGACACCTGGACAGGTCTACAGTCCTTCACAGGGACACATGGACAGGTCTCCAGTCCTTCACAGGGACACCTGGACAGGTCTACAGTCCTTCACAGGGACACATGGACAGGTCTCCAGTCCTTCACAGGGACACCTGGACAGGTCTACAGTCCTTCACAGGGACACCTGGACAGGTCTACAGTCTGTCACAAGAACTAGAGTTGCATTTGGGCCTAAAAATCGGGCCTAAAAAATCCGACCTGACCTGGCCTGTCCCCAGTCCGTAGCCATTTTTTCCTGAGCCCGACCCGACCAAATAACTAATTAAAAACCCGAACCCGAAAAAAAATACTTTTTATTTATTTATTATTATTAAGCTTTAACTGCTTTTGTAAGCAAATCAGTTTGACATGTTATATTAAAAAAATGTGTTTCAAAGAAAGGATAAGATTTCTTGTTTCATCAAATGGATATTAACATACAAAATGAATAGCCAACGAAATCACCTGTAAAGATAACTATTATACAGATGAACAAAAATATTTTTTAGAGCAAAAATATTTGGAAAAATATAGAACAAGGCTATTTTAATTGAACGCGCTGTTCGCTTCAGCTTTTGTAGCTTCAGATGCTGCAACTTCCTTCACCGCAGATGAGCAGGGTGCGGAGCGGGACGCATGCGGCCGTTGATCCGGTGAGCCATCTGAAGCTTAACAAGACTTAAAAAAAAATTTTTTTTACCCCTTTCAACCTTCCGGTCAGACCTGAGCGTGCACCTGACGTGACACACATGAGCAGGTTTCACAGTGCTGACTTTGTAGAGTGAGTTCTCCCGTTTTTAGCTTTTGTTTAATACTTTCCAGCTCCATCATGTCGCTGTTTGTGGGTCAATTGAAAATCCTCAGATGTTAAAAGCAGGGCGGGCGGGGCCACATGCGCAATTGTTGCGCAATGCGCCAACGCTATGCTCTCTTTCCACAGTCTGATTAACTGCTGCACTCTTCTTTCTTTCCTATTCCACTCAACTTAGTAAATTTACTGTCTCCTCCTCAACAAGTAGATTAACACAATTTTATATTGTGCATTCTTATTTAGTTTTACTTATGCTGTATGATTTGTAAAACCACATCAAAAGCCCGAGACTGACCCAGCCCGCCCATCAAGCACATAACTGGGCCGACCCGGCCTGAATTTCATGTCAGGCCGGGCTCGGGTTAGAAATCGCAGCTCTAACAGGGACACCTGGACAGGTATAGAGACAAATAAGACACCCTCTGTCACACCTAGGGACAATTTAGTTACCAGTTAACCTAAAATGCTTGTTATTTGTCTGTTGGAGGAAACTGGAGTGTCTGGAAAAAGCCCACTCAGCACGGAGAAAACAAACTCTATACAAAGGCAGGAGTCGAACCCGCAGCTATCTTATTGTGAAGCAACTGCTCTAACCCGTGTTCCACAGTGACACATGTTCAAACATAATTCTACTTCAAAGTAAAACAGAACAGAGATGGACGTGGAGGTCTACCTTCCTGTAAGACGAACTTCATCACTCCTCCGTGTAAAGGAGAAGCTGCTAAAAACCACTAAAACAATCAGGTCTCTCTTGTAAATGAGTCCCTGAGGCTCAATGAGATTAACCTGTATAAATAAAGGTTTAATGAATGTGCCTTTTAATCACTGCACTTCATGAATTTTTGATTTTGGAGGCTGAACGCTGTACACACACACATGCACACCCACTCTTCAGTTAAAAAATGTATCAAATATTTAAAAGGTTTTCTTCCTTTAAGTTATTTTTTGGTTGTTTAGGTTAATTTATAACAAAATGAAAGTTTAATCCAGCTTGTAAGACAACTAAGCAGACGTCGGTGTAAAGGTGGTGAATACTTTTGCAACCATCTGAACTTGAAGAAATGTTTAGAAAAGCTTCAAAACCTTAAACAGTGAGCTGACTGTAACAGCTGCTGCTGCATCATCTAATTCATTAAAATCAGATAAATATCAGCCAATTAACTGACCAACTAATTATGCTGCCCCCTCTTGTCTGTTAAATGCTGTTTATGACAGCTTAAAGATAGTTAACAAACCTACAACTTCAGAGTGCTATTCATGATTAATAGGGGTGTAAATCACCTGCTTTACCACGATACGATGTTGCTCGATATCACAAACTCTGTCACGATACGATTTCGATTCACAAGTCTGCGATCGATATATTGCGATATGAATACCCATCTCATTTACATATAAACAAATTCATTCCAGTTGTGTACTTCAGTAAATTCATTTGCCAGTTGTCAATGTGATGACAGGTTACAGTTACACGCTTCGGTTGTACATGACGTCCATCCATCCGTAGCGATGGCAACTCTGTCTGCGTTCAGTAACTCACATTTAACTTCACTTTTAACTTGATTGTACAGTCTTGGTATACAAGTTTCACTGAAGTGCTGCCTCCATAGTATTATATATTTCAGCTCCAAAGTATGCAGTAGTTCACAAAAGCCGTAATTTTTGATAACACTGTAAGGTCTCATATCTTTACAAATGAAATACAAACCGGATTCCAAAAAAGTTGGGACACTAAACAAATTGTGAATAAAAACTGAATGCAATGATGCGGAGGTGCCAACATCTAATATTTTATTCAGAATAGAACACAAATCACAGATCAAAAGTTTAAACTGAGAGAATGTATCATTTTAAGGGAAAAATCTGTTGTTTCCAAATTTCATGGCGTCAACAAATCCCAAAAAAGTCGGGACAAGTCCATTTTTACCACTGTGTGGCATCCCCCCTTCTTCTTACAACACTCAACAGACGTCTGGGGACAGAGGAGACCAGTTTCTCAAGTTTAGAAATAGGAATGCTCTCCCATTCATGTCTAATACAGGCCTCTAACTGTTCGATCGTCTTGGGCCTTCTTTGTCGCACCTTCCTCTTTATGATGCGCCAAATATTCTCTATAGGTGAAAGATCTGGACTGCAGGCTGGCCATTTCAGTACCCGGATCCTTCTCCTACGTAGTCATGATGTTGTGATTGCTGCAGAATGTGGTCTGGCATTATCGTGTTGAAAAATGCAGGGTCTTCCCTGAAAGAGATGACGTCTAGATGGGAGCATATGTTGTTCTAGAACCTGAACATAGTTCTCTGCATTAATGGTGCCTTTCCAGACATGCAAGATGCCCATGCCACAAGCGCTCATGCAACCCCATACCATGAGTGATGCAGGCTTCTGAACGGAGTGTTGATAACGACTTGGGCTATCCTTGTCCTCTCTGGTCCGGATGACATGGCGTCCCAGTGTTCCATAAAGAACTTCAAATCGTGACTCATCTGACCACAGAACAGTCTTCCGTTTTGCCACACTCCATTTTAAATTACCCCTGGCCCAGTGCAAACGTCTGAGCTTGTGGAGCTTGCTTAGAAATGGCTTCCTCTTTGCACTGTAGAGTTTCAGCTGGCAACAGCGGATGGCACGGTGGATTGTGTTCACTGACGATGCTTTCTGGAAGTATTTCTGAGCCCATTCTGTTATTTCCTTGACAGTGGCATTCCTGTTTGAGGTGCAGTGACGTTTAAGGGCCCGGAGATCATGAGCATCCAGTAAAGTTTTACGGCCTTGACCCTTACGCACAGCGATTGTTCCCGATTCTCTGAATCTTTTGATGATGTTTTGCACGGTTGATGATGATAACTTAAAAGTCTTTGCTATTTTACGCTGGGTAACACCATTCTGGTATTGTTGCACTATCTTTCTGCGTAACAATGGTGGAATTGGTGATCCTCTTGGGCGGCTGTGGCTGAGTGGTGGGCGACTGCGGCTGAGTGGTTAGAGCAGTCGTCCTCCAATGCGAGAATTGGGGGTTCGAGTCCACCAGCAGTCACATGTCGAAGTGTCCCTGGGCAAGACACTGAACCCCTCATAGCCTCTGATGTGTGTCCCATCAGTGTATGAATGTGATCTAAAAGCAGTGATTAGTCTCATTAGAATGATTTTGTTCCATTAGCTTTGTAGAGATCTAGTAGAGTGCTGTATGAATGGGTTAATGAGGCACAGATTGTAGTGTAAAGCGCTTTGAGTATCTTGAAA